ATGAAACTTTGCATTATTTCTTACAATTGCATGTGAATCTATAATTATCTCAAAATCAAAACTTAATTTAGACAAAATTATTTGAGTGTCCCCTATATGCATAGTACAGCTAAGGAAATACAAAGGTAAATAAGATGGTTTACTGCACTTGAAATTACAGTTTATTATGGGATAAACATATATACATAAATAACTAAATTTTATGGCAAAAAATTTATGTCAGGAGTATTTTAAAATACAGTTAGACTTAGCCTGACCACTTCACAATCACTAGGATAGCTATTATCAACAACAGAAAAAACAAAGCTAAAATATAATAAGTGTTGGCAAGGGTATAAAGAAACTGGAACCTGTGTGTGCTTTTGTTGGGGATGTAAAATGGTACAGTCATTGTAGAAAACAGTACAAAATTCCCTTGAAAAATTAAAAATAGAATTGCCATATGATCCAGAAATCCAGCTTCTGGGTATAAATCCAAAAGAACTGAAAGAAAGGCCTTGAAGAGCTATTTGTACACTCATTCATAGCAGCATTATTCACAATAACTAAAACACAGAAGCAACCCAAGCATCTATCAAATGATGAATAGATGAGCAAAATGTAGTGTATTTATACAATGGAATATTATTCAGCCTTAAAACAGAAATTCTGTAATATAACACTGATGAACCTTGAGGACATTATGCTAAGTGAAAAAACCTTGAGGACATTATGCTAAGTGAAAAAAGCAGTCACAAAAAGACAAATACTTGGCACAAAAACAGACACATAGATCAGTGGAACAGAATAGAGAGCCCAGAAATGGACCCTCAACTCTATGGTCAACTAATCTTCGACAAAGCAGGAAAGAATGTCCAGTGGAAAAAAGACAGTCTCTTCAACAAATCGTGCTGGGAAAATTGGACAGCCACATGCAGAAGAATGAAACTGGACCATTTCCTTACACCACACACAAAAATAGACTAAAAATGGATGAAAGACCTAAATGTGAGACAGGAATCCATCAAAATCCTTGAGGAGAACACAGGCAGCAACCTCTTTGACTTCAGCCACAGCAACTTCTTCCTAGACACATCACCAAAGGCAAGGGAAGCAAGGGCAAAAATGAACTATTGGGACTTCATCAAGATAAAAAGCTTTTGCACAGCAAAGGAAACAGTCCACAAAACCAAAAGACAATTGACAGAATGGGAGAAGATATTTGCAAATGACATATCAGATAAAGGGCTAGTATCCAAAATCTATAAAGAACTTATCAAACTCAACAAACCCAAAGAGCAAAAAATCCAACCAAGAAACGGTCAGAAGACATGAACAGACACTGCTGCAAAGAAGACATCCAAATGGCCAGAAACACATTAAAAAGTGCTCAACATCACTCAGCATCAGGGAAATCCAGATCAAAACCTCAGTGAGATACCACCTCACACCAGTCAGAACGGCTAAAATTAACAAGTCAGGAAACGACAGATGTTGGCGAGGATGCGGAGAAAGGGGAACCCTCCTACACTGTTGGTGGGAATGCAAGCTGGTGCAGCCACTCTGGAAAACAGTACGGAGGTTCCTCAAAAAGTTGAAAATAGAGCTACCTTATGACCCAGAAATTGCACTACTGGGTATTTACCCCAAAGATACAAATGTAGTGATCCAAAGGGGCACATGCACCCCAATGTTTATAGCAGCAATGTCCACAATAGTCAAACTATGGAAAGAGCTTAGATGTCCATCAATAGATGAATGGATAAAAAAGATGTGGTATAGGGGTGCCTGGGTGGCTCAGTCGTTAAGTGTCTGCCTTCGGCTCAGGTCATGATCCCAGGGTCCTGGGACTAAGTCCCACATCGGGCTCCCTGCTCGGTGGGAAGCCTGCTTCTCCCTCTCCCATTCCCCCTGCTTGTGTTCCCTCTCTTGCTGTGTCTCTCTCTGTCGAGTAAATAAATAAAATCTTTAAAAAAAAAAGAGAGAGGAAGATGTGGTGTGTGTGTGTGTATATATACATATATATATACACACAGCCAAAAAAAATGAAATCTTGCCATTTGCCACGATGTGGATGGAACTAGAGGGTATTATGCTAAGTGAAATAAGTCAATTAGAGAAAGACAAGTATCATATGATCTCACTGATATGAAGAATTTGAGAAACAAGGCAGAGGATCATAGGGGAAGGGAAGGAAAAATGAAACAAGACGAAACCAGAGAGGGAGACAAATCATAAGAGACTTAATCTCAGGAAACAAACTGAGGGTTGCTGGAGTGGTGAGGGGTGGGAGGGATGGGGTGGCTGGGTGATGGACATTAGGGAGGGTATGTGCTATGGTGAGTGCTGTGAATTGTGTAAGACTGATGAATCACAGACCTGTACCTCTGAAACAAATATATGTTAATAAAAAAAAGACAAATACTGTATGAATCCACTTACATGAGGTACTTAGAGTAGTAAAGTACAATGATGGTTGCCAGGGGCTGGGGAAAAGGGAAAATAAGGAGTTATTGTTTAATAGTTATAGAGTTTAAGATCTACAAGATGTAAAGAGTTACAGTGGTGATGGCTGCACAACAAAGTGAATGTATTTAATACCAATGAACTGTACACTTAAAAATGGTTAAGATAGAAAAGGTTATGTGTATTTTAACATAATAAAAGAAAAAATAGGAAAAATAATATGAGAATAGTAAAGAAACTACAAAACTTGAAGTAAACATCCTTAAAATGTTTAAAAATTAATATAAATCACTTTCAACTTTATATATTGTACTTCTAAGGGTAATGATTTTAAGGCTTAAAGAAAATTACTGGTACTGGTACATATCCTACTTGGTCATGGTGTATTATTATTTGAATAAGCTTTGGGATAATATTTCTGGCATTTCATTTTAATATTGTTTCATTTGCAATGACATGTATTACTAATTTTCCAATTTGAAAAAAGTAAAAAATATTTTTAAAGAAAAAATTAAGGACATGTTTTTTGAATTTTTACAGTGAAAATCTATTCATGAGTTACTTCCATCATTAAAAAATTCTTGCTAAAATAAGAAAAATAATTTAAAGGAAGAGTCAGAAAATTCTTGCATATACCACTTCATTAATAAAATATTAACAGTGGATTCTTACAGAAACCAACAGACACATGAAACAGTAGACTAACAAAATAAAAAAAACTGGAAATGTAAAGATGACCAAAATTTGTTGACTTTTTAAGTTTTTAAATTCCAGTTCATTAACATACAGTGTAATATTAGTTTCAGGTGCACAATATAGTGATTCAACACTTCCATATAACACCCAGTGCTCATCACAATAAGTGCACTCCTTAATCCCCATTACCTATTTAACCCATCCCCTCACCCACCTCCCTTCTGGTCACCATCAGTTTGTTATCTATAGTTAAGAGTCTGTTTCTTAGTTTGCCTTTCTCTCTTTTTTTCCCCTTTGCTCATTTGTTTCTTAAATTCCACATGAGTGAAATCATATTGTATTTGTCTTTCTGACTTATTTCACTTAGTATAATGCTCTCTATCTCCATCCATGTCATTGCAAATGGCAAGATTTCATTCTTTTTTATGGCTGAGTAATATCCCATTGTATATATATTGCCACATCTTTACCCATTCATCCATTGGTGGACACTTGGGCTGTTTCTACAATTTGGCTACTGTAGATAATGCTGCGACAAACATGGGGATGCATGTATCCCTTTGAATTAGTATTTTTGTATTCTTTGGGTAAATTCAATTACACTGTGCAACTTGTCCACATATCCTTTAGGAGCCAAGCTCCAGTGATCTCTCCAGATACATCTCTGGCCACTTTCACCTGTGCATGCTACAGTGGCCATTGCAAATCACTTACTATTCACTCAAGAATTCATTTATAACTCCATACCATTGTCTATGTTGTTGTTCTCTCTGAATAGGATGCCTCCTCCCTTTGGAGCTCAGCAGTACCTCCTTGTGAACTCCTCCCTGACACCCATAGGCCAATTAGGAATTCCTTCTCTCAAACCTTGAATATTTTTTATTAGTATAATATTCATACCAAACAATTTGTATCTCAATACTGGGAGGTCCTTGAGGGCAAGGGCCTCTCTTTTGCTTTTTCTCTTTTCTTTTCCTTTTTTTCCTTCCTTCCTACCTTCCTTTTTTTTTTTTTTTCTTTTTTTTTTTTTTTTTTTTTGAGTATAGATGACACATGATGGTACATTACCTTCAAGTGTGCGACATAGTGGTTCAACAACTCTATATGTTAGGCTATGCTCACCACAAGTGTAGCTACCATCTGTCATCATGCAAGCCTATTACAAAACCATTAACTATATATTCCCTATGCTGTACCTTTTATCACCATGATTTATTCATTCCATAACTGGAAGCCTGTATCTCTCACTCTCCTTCACCCATTTTGCCCATCACCCCACCATTCCCTTCTGGCAACCATTATTTTGTTCTCTGTATTTATGGGTTGGATTATTCACGTTTTGTTTTATAGATTCTACATATAAGTGAAATCATATGGTATTTGTCTTTCTCTGATGTATTTCACTTAGCATAATATCCTCTAGGTCCATCCATGTTTTGAACCTTATGTTCATGGTGGCAAGCACAATGTCAGTAGATACAATCAAATGAATTACAGTTTAAAAGAACCCAACAAGTTAAATAAATTTAGCTTATCATCAACTTTAATATCATTAAAGTTATAATTTAGCTGAATAAACCTCAACTTCATAGTTCTTTGCTGATTGCTATGTTAATGTGTTTTATAATTCTTCTGGCTAAAAGTAAATGCAAATTACATAAAGGAAAAGTTTCTGTTACTTTCTTGAATTGTTGGAATACAGCTGTCATCAATTTATCTTTTGGACTTTAGAAATAAAATCTAAAGTTGATAGACATGGTTTGATGTAATATTTAAAAAAAAAGTTTGATTTTCTAAAATTGTAGTAATTTTATAGTAACAATAATATTAAAAGAACCATTTAAAAATGTATTACATACCATTTCTATTTCTTGATCTTTGGCAACCAGCTGTCGATTAAGAAGTTCTTTGCTTGAGTCAAGTTTAATACAAAGTTCCCTTGTGGAAGATAAATCTGCAAGGGCAGACACTTTTTCAAACTGAACCTTCTGAAGTTCCTCTTCCATCTTTACAACAGACTTGTGTAAGGTAGAAATCTGGGACTTATAAGACCTTTCTGCATTTAAGTGCTGCAACAACAAAATTATTATTTTATATATATACATACATACATATTTTTTAATTTAAAAAAACTAAAACATGGAAAACAAAGTGGGGAAAATCTTTTGATGATACACTTAGATTATAAGGAACTTTATACAATATAGGTGGTAACAGTCTGTACAAAACACCCTGGGAAAGACAAACTCAGCTTTCAAATGTCTATACATAAAATCCATGAGTAAGTTGATCAAATGGCCATTATTTTTAATGTGTTTAGAAAACAACTTTTCCCCCTGTAAAGTCTCAAACCAAAAGCTAGTTGAGATACATATATGTTTGGTCTGTAGTTCTATTTTTGCTACAGTTTCATTTATTCTATAAGATAAATATTATTGTTAAAGACAAAACATTAGCTACCAGTTTCACTCATAATACCCATTTTCCAATTCTTAAATGGCATGTTGACCTAGATCATAATATCATAAAATGAGGACTGATAGCTCTCTAGCACTTATTAATAACTCTGAGGGAAAAAGACTCTAGGCAAGTATAAATTAAGGATAAATCCACATTATGGGAAATAAGAGCATGTTTTAAAAACTGCACGATGAGATTCAAGTTATATAAATGCTTTTAAAAGTTCAAGATAATACCACCCCCTTTTTTTTTTGTTTCAGAGAAATATCTTATGTAAGTGCACTGCCACCTACAGAGAAGTTTTTGCTATTATGTGAAGCTGACAGAACTGAGAGACAAAGAAATTTTCCTGCTTTTACAAGTACAAAGCACAAAAAAAATTGCTCCTAGAATAAGTTATTTGGCACAGTTCTCCCTCCCTTCCTTCCTCACTCACTCTATTTCTCACTCATTCTTCAAACAACCTTCTATCCACCCATCCACCCATCCATCTATCCACCCATTCCATATTTTTTAGTATATTCTCTGTTCCAGTCAATGCACCTAGATGCATATCCGGTAATAAACAAAATAGTCTCTGTTCTCATGACACTTTCAGACTATGGGGGAGCCACAGATTAGTCAAATAATCTCACAAATGACCAAATACTTATTAAGCAAATACTTCTAGAGGAAAAAAAAAAAGTATAACAAAGTAAAGTGATCTAGACTAAGAGGGTCAGAGAAGTCAGGAAAGGCTTCCCTGAGTAAATGACACATTAGCTGAGATCTGAATGGTGTGTAGATAGATATACAGTGTGGGTAGGGGAAGGTGGCTTTTCAAACTGAAGGAATGCTAAATTCAAAGGCCTCAAAGGGAGTGTGTTGAGGGAGGGAAAATGACATGCTCCAACAACAAAGAGAAGACTAGTATGGCTACAGCTCAGAGACCACAGAGAAGAGTGATAGGATATGCATTTGAAAAGGTATTCAAAAACTCAAAAGACAGAGCCTGATAAGCTGGGTTAAAATTTAGGTCTTTAATCCACAGAAAAAAGAGGGAGGTAATATGATCAGTTTTGTGCTTTGGAAAGATAATACTAGATATTTCAGGTTCTAGTAAGATAGTTGATTAAGCTAAGAGGAAAACATTTTGGGTAAAAGAGAATTTTTTTTTTTTTTTTTTACAATTCATAGCTGAGCTTGCAGGAAAGAAAAATAAATTCGCATATGCCAAAGACAAAGATAAAACAAAGCCAGAGCCGGAAACAATTGAGAAGGCCTGTAGTTAAAAGTTGGGAGTAGGAAGACCCAGTGACAGTGAAAGGCTTGTGTTTAAAACATTGAAGCAAGGACAGGAAACAAGAAGTTAGGACTGATGGATAACTGGAACTGGGTCCTCTACATAATTTGGAACACTTGAAAAGAGGCTCCAGAGGAAAAATCCACTCAACCTCACAAAGATACAACTGAGAGTTTATCTTCTCCTACTCTCTAAGTAGGTAAAAAATGTCTTCTGTAAGGAACGTTAGATCTAACTTTATTCAGTTTTGGATTCTGACTGCGCACTAACCACTCCCAATTCTAAACTTTAACATAAAGTTTGCCCCATGCCAATGATAACACAGAGTCCCTATGCAGAAGCAAACTCATATCCTTGGCCATAAAAGATTTTGCAGGAAAGTCCTGCTTCAAAGGAGCTTACAAACTCGGGGTGACTTAATCCACCATGAGTGAGAGTCAGAGCAACATAAAACATAGCAGGAACAGAATTCTAGAACTTCAAGATATTAAACAAAATATTTTAGAAGACATGAAAAATATGCTTAAAAGTATTAAAGACATTAAAGAAAAAATGAAAAGAATGAGACTTAGGAAAAAAAAGGAAAATTTGAAGAAGAACCAATAGAACTTCTGGAAAGAAAGGAAAAGTAGTTAATAAAATGAAAAACAGAACGAATGCATCAAAGAACAGACTAGTACAGCTGAAGAGGGAAGAAGGAACTAGAAGATCACAGCACAGAGAGACAAACATATGGAAACTATGATAAAAAATATTAATGAACATTTGGACTAGGAGATCCAATAAGCATATTATAAAGGTTGAGAGAGACAGTAGAGTGAATTTAAAGGTGGTAATATTCAAATAAATAACACCTAAAAATTTTCCAGACCTACTAAAAAGTATTAATACTCTGACTGAAAAACTGCAAAGCCAAACCCCTCCTTTAATAAACCCCAAAACCATACCTAGACATATAACTACAAAGAGAAAAAGAAGACCTTAAAAGAAAACAATGGCAAATGACAGACTTACATAGAAAAACAGTTAGAATGAGAATAGACTTCTCAACAAATTATTTTTAAAGTTATCAAAGGAAATAACCCTCAACCTAGAATTCTACACTCAGCTAACCCTATACTCAAAAATGAGGGTAAAATAAATCCATCTTCAGGCAAAGACTGAGAAAATTAACTCACAAATCAAAGAAAGGAAGTAGTCTCAAGAAAGAAATTGAACTTAGAAGAAATAGAATGCAAGAAGCAATGTTGAAAAATTTTGTAAACATATAAATGGATACAAATAAGCACTGACTCAAAGAATAAGAATTAGAGTAGTGATTTATTTTTAAGACTATAAAAAGCCAATGTGGATCTAAAAGAGTACACAACTATAACAGATTGGGGTTGTGTAAAAGAGAGAAGGGGGAGGGAGAGAATAAGAAAACACATTCATTAGTAAGCAGGATGTTGTGCTCAATATTCAAATATTTTTAGGACCACATATTGTTTAGGAGGAGAGTTGGAAATACTAACAAAAGACTTTTTAAAATATGCATATTACAAATTTAACTACTAAAAGAATAGGTTGAAAATATATAACTTCCAAACCAATAAGTAGCAAGGGTAGAAAGTAGGTAAAGAAACAAATATATATAAGATAAAGGAAAGAAGAAAAAGAATCACGATAAGAATAAAGTGTAAATAAAAAAAAGGAAATAGTAAACATAAATGAGCCAGCAATTCAAACACAAATGGTAAACTTATTAGTTAATAGAAAGATATTCTCAGATTGAATTTTTTAAAAATTAGGATATATGATGCTTATTAGAGACAAACAGTTGAAAAGGATTAAGAAAAGATATATAATACTTCTGTTTCCAGCCTTGATAGAATAACTGAGACTGAACTTATCTTCCCTCTGTTAACAAATGGAAAACTAGAAAGGAAGGAAGGAAGGAAGGAAGGAAGGAAGGAAGGAAGGAAGGAAGGAAGGAAGGGAGGGAGGGAGGGAGGGAGGGGGGGAGGGGGGGAGGGAGGAAGGGAGGGAGGGAGGGAGGGAGGGAGGGAGGGCGGATTGCTTCTAGATATTGGACAACAGGCAGCACAGGGCTGTGATCTCTGAGAAAAGGAAAACAAACAAGATGAGCCCTATCATCATTCCAGCTTTCTGTCAGGAGACAATTTTCCAGTCTTCAGTTCAGAGAAAGAAACTTCAATCAGAGCACAGTTGATTTGCTGAGGAGACAGAAATAAGCATCTGAAATATGTGGGGTAGGGTTCCAGAAATGAAGGATCTATACACACAAAAAAAGACATCCAGAAATTTGCCTAGGAGTCTCCTTGAGTCTGTGGCTGAATACTAAGCCATGAATATATATATTGTGAAACTCCAGAAGGCTGAGAAAGAAAACCAGAGAGTTCTAAATTAACCAAAGCCACAGCTGATACACAGTTGGAAAAAGGTTTATGTTTGAACCTGCCAAAGTGAGAGTCCTTAATGAACATCTGCTTAGAGAACACAGAAAGGTCACACCATAGTGGTAGGGTTAAAATAGTCTTACAGAAAAGGCTACTTTAAGCCTGCCCCATCAAAGCTTAAAGACAATATTGAAAGTATCAGTTGATCTGCAAGTAATTTAACAGCCTGCCAGAACAAATCCAACACTCTTAAAAGGAAGACACTAAGTCTAAAATTCAACAAAGTAAAATTCACAACATCCAGAACCCAATTAAGAAAACATCAGACAGGGGTGCCTGGGTGGCTCAGTGGGTTAAGCGTCTGCCTTAAGCTCAGGTCATGATATCTGGGTCCTGGGATCGAGTCCTGTGTTGGGCTCCCAGCTCAGGGGGGAGTGTGCTTCTACCTCTCCCTTTGCCCCTCCCACCACCATGCCCCCTCTCATGGCTCATGCTCTCTCTCTCAAATAAATAAATATTTTTTTTTAAAAATACCAGACATGTAAAGATGCAGAAATATAACCTACAGCAGGATAAAAATTAGTCAATGTAAGTGGATGCAAAATTGACAAAGATGATGGTATTGGAAACAGTCAACAAAACTAAAAGATAACCTATAGAATGGGAAAAGATATTTGCAAATGTCTTATCAGATAAAGGACTAGTATCCAAAATCTATAAAGAACTTATCAAACTCAACACCCAAAAACAAACAAATAATCCAGTCAAGAAATGGGCAGAAGATCTGAACAGACATTTCTCCAAAGACATATACAAATGGCCAAAAGACACATGAAAAAATGCTCAACATCACTGGGCATCAGGGAAATACAAATCAAAACCACAATGAGATATCACCTCACACCAGTCAGAATGGCTTAAATTAACA